TCTTTTCTTATGTGATGGCTTGGTCCAGGTCTTGGATAACCTTGACTTGGCTATCCTCTTGCCTCTACTTTCCCAGTGTAAGAATTACAAGTGTACACCAGCAGGCCTGGATTGAATTCTGTCTCATCCACGTCTGTCTGACTGTCTGTCTCTCTGTCTCTGTCTGCCTGCCTTTCTGCCTTCCTGTCTGCCTGCCTGTCCGTCTGTCTGCCTGCCTGTCCGTCTGTCTGCCTGCCTTCATGCCTGTCTGTCTGCCTGTCTATTGGTGTTTAGAAGAGTCTCCCTGTGTACATAGTCCAACTTGATTTTGAATGTATCGCTCTCCCGCCTCTGTCTTCATCTTCTGCATGCTGGGATTAAAACCCTGGCATGTGCCACCATGCCCAGCTACATTTACTTTTAAAGAGCTGCTTTGAAGGATTTTGGACCCTCTCAGCAAAGAACATCTCTGAGGTATAAAGCCTGAGACATTATTCAAATAATCCTAACTGGATTTCTTAAGCCCTGATCAAATCAGCAAGCTGTTTTGCTTAGCATCTTGGTCAAGTTCATTCATTAATTCAGAAGGCATTTATTGAATATTTGCAGAGTCTAGCTCTGGGCCAGATGTAACAAGATTAGTGGATGAATGAAGTCCTGTCCTTTAGGAGTTTATAGTCTTTACTGAATGAAGGCAAGGCAATAATAGAATGCCACTCAAGATGTATGATGACTTTTATACTTGAAATGTGTTCTCAGTCTTCCACGTCAGGTAATTGACATTAACATGACTTTATGCACTAGAAACTGAATTATGAAGTATTTTCTTTTCATATTTATTTCACAGTTAATATCAAAGTTCTTTTCAGACATGCTCTTGTGAGAATACTCATTCCCCACAAAGTGATGTTGTGAAGTTAATAGAATCGTTGGCATTTCACGCTTTGCAGTCTGTGCATTTGGGAGGATTCTGAGCAGGAAGAAGGATGTGAAGTTGAACCCCCATTTATTGTTTAATTAGAGCAAACTGTAGCTAAAACTGCTGCCCTCACCCTTTCCGTTCACAAGCAAGTTCTGCTAGAGTTTCATGACATCTTCTACCACCATGATGGATGTAAATAGAAAAGGACCGCTTGCTGATTTTAGTTGAGGTCTCGAATATAACTAAATTCCTTTCCTCTTTGAAGGAAAATGTCCACTCATGTATGAACTATTAGAAAAAATTATGTTCTGCTGTTTCAAAGACTAGGAAGCTGAAATCTGAAGTGCCTTTCATACCCCAATATTTTCTAATTATAATATTTCTATTCTGTGTTTTATATATCGACTTTTCTAAGATGTACCTTTGGCCACAGACTGGTAGCTGCTTTCAATGCCTCTTAACCCATTTCCCTCCTAATTGATGTTTGTATGTGCAGTGTTTATACCTTTTTCTCCTGATAATATTACAAATTTAGCCTTTAATTTGTGTCAATAATGGGGAATAAATAAGGAATGAACAAAAGTCCTAGTTGCTTCTACTCACAGGCTAGAAAAGGGCATGCTCTGATGGGAGTCCCAGGGAAGTACTATCTTGACCTCTCAAGATGCAACAAGGTTCTGTATTGTATGGATGCCGTGTGTCTTGATTCAGTAGTTTGGTCAGTTTGCTACTGGTCAGGCATTGGTTCCTCGTTATGGAGGGTGATGATACTTAGGCTGTCACAGTTCACAGGTGCCTAGGAGCCGAACTCACTTGTTCAATCGTTTCTACCAAGACCTGACAATGGAATTTTATTTCTTTCCTCTTCCACCCCTTCTCTTCCTTTTCCTCCTCCCCCTTCCCTCCTCTTCTTTTTCCTCCTCCTTTTCTTCTTTTCTGACTTCTTGATTTTCTTTCCCCTCTCTACCTTATTTCTTCTCCTTTTTCTAACCACAAATTTCTGAGATAGTCTGTGAAACTGTTTTTCTCTTGTTCATCTAAAATTTAAGAGTTCTTCAGCCATCCTATGGCTTTGTGCTTGGATAGTGTGTGTGTGTGTGTGAAGTCTAAACCCAAGGGTGTTTTAAGAGTTTTTCCTCCTTCCTTCCTCCCTCCCTCCTCCCTTCTGCCCTTCCTTCATTCTCTCCCCCCCTCTTTTGCCCCTAATAATATTTTAATCAGATACTTTCATATATAGCTACATCTTGATTCTACTAAGTTGTTCAGGTTTACCTAAAAGTTGTTATGTACCCTATGAAGGCTTTGAATTTATAATCCATCTGTCTCAGCCTTTTGCTATGGAATTTTTTAAGCACTTAAATTTAGTTTGTGGAGACTCTTGAAGACCTAAAGGTAGAACCTATGGTTTCTGAATCTACAAAGCCATGAGGTTTTGTTGTTGTTGTCATGTCATTTGTTTCTTTTCTTTTCTTTTTTTCTGTTCGTTTCTTTTCTCTTCTTTTCTTTTCTCTTCTTTTCTTTTGTTTTAGTGAACTTTTTTTTTCTTTTGTTTAGTAAAACTGGTTTAGCATTAATGGGGAGAACTTCAAACATGGATAAAAATCCTAAGAACCGTGGCAGAGTAAGTCCCTTTAATATGGGAGGAAAATCTTTGTGAGAGAAGAATTTCCACAGAAGGTTCTCTCTCCTCGTCTCTTCCCTCCTTGGCCCTTTGTTTCTTGTATTATGTTAGGCTGTCTAAGCACTTTCAAATACCCACTTAGCTTGTTTTTATTTTCCGAGCCAGGGTCTTGCTGTGTAGCCCAGGATAGCCTTGGACTTTCCATCTTCAGATCTTCCTGCCTCTGTCTCCTGAGCTAATGCTGGAATCCGAGGCCTGGGTCACCATATCACACCGAGCCACTGTTCCTCTCATAAGAGTATGGCTGGAGAGTGTGAAATGTGCTTTATCATGAGGAGCCCAAACTGATGATATTAGCTGCCTATCTTGGAGAACACGAGGAAAGGGAACACTGATTGAACTGTCTTCTTTGAAGAGTTTCTGATGAGTCTGGGGAATGATGCAGAGCTAATGTGTTGCCTAAAGCCTGCATTGGAAAAGCTCCTGGCAAGCTGGTTGTGATCATTTCCAACTACTGAAGACCTGTGTCTGGAACTTCCTGGGTAGGATTCCAAGAGACCCTAAAAGAAACATAGAGAGCAGGTCACATGCTGAGATCTCTGACACACACAGAGTCCAGTGCTGGCACACGTTTATCCCTGAATGTGGAGAACTACTGTTCTCGCCTACCCGCACCAGGTGTTTGTAGGTGGAGTCTGGATAGGTCAGTGAACATGAATAGATGTCTCCTGCCCTTTAGGATGTAACACATCCTTCCCTATCTGTTCCTACTCCTTCATCTTTCTGCTGTAAGCACCTTTCCCTCTGAGGCTCTAACTTGAGGGGGTTGATGGTACCTGTGCCCCTTGTTGCTTCCCTCTGCTCCTCTTGCTGAAGAGTCCCTTGCTTGGGTCGAGAGGTGGCTGAAGAAGTGTGGGCTGTTTCTTGGCAGATGCAAATCAGTCTTTTCACATTGAGAGAGCTCAGCTCAATGGACAGTGGTGTGTTACTCAGCAAGAAGGTAACCAATGTGAAAAGGCTGTGCTATGCTGGACAGTGGGGTTGCACGAGAGGCATTGTTTCTAGTTCATCTGTGACAACTTGAATTTCTTTCCAAGTATCCTAAGTATCCTGCCATTCTTTTCTCTGTAAGTGGTGAGGCTCCACGCTTGCCCTCCACCCTGAAAAGAAGTTGAGCTTCCAGCTTCTGGCCCTGTAGTCCTATTACAAAACAGCCTCCTCAAAGCTCTCTGATAATGGGGGGATTTGTTCCTGTCTATCCTAGTAGAGGTGTATCTCACCACAGTTGTAAAGGATATCAGATGCTAGAGACTCACTCAGGTCGCTCCGGTACAGATTCTATCCAACAGGGGGCTGTGGGTTCTGTACAAGATTCTCATGTCCATGTGTTCGTATGTACACATGCATGCATGTCTCTCTGTATGCATTTACTATTTATTTATTTATTTATTTATTTATCTATTTATTTATTTATTTTCTTGCTGCAGGAAAGCCATCTCCCGGACAGGCCTCCAGCATCTGGCTCCTGCACATCCTCTCGGTCTTCCTGTGGCAAATGGTCCAGCGAAGGAGCCCAGAGCGACTCTGGACTGGAGCGTAGGTGTCTGCCATTTTGTGTTTGTCTTTTGTTTTGTCTTCTCCCTCAAGTTAATTTCAGTTCCATGCTGTGTTTTTCTCATCTCACCTTCAGGATTCCATCAGTCAGAACACGTCTACTGAGAGAACACAGTGGTCAAGTTAGTGGGATCACTAACTGTGGGCTGGAAGTCATGCACTCACCTGAAGCTACATGTGGGGCCCCCACTGTCTCAACGATGAGCAGAATAGGCTCAACCATGTCCTTTTCTGTTCTGGGGATAGAACCATGGGGGAAAGGAGGGGTGTGGTTATTTTTTTAACCTATCAAAATATCAAAATTGTACATGTTTATGGTGTACCATGTGGTGTTTTGACACATGTACACAGGTATAGGTATAGAGTGAAGCATATCTACTCAGACATTTATCAGTTATTTATGCCAGAAACTGTCTAAATCTCTTTTTATGGCCTTTTGCAAAAGAGTATACTATGTTATCAGGTTAATAGTATAGAGAAATAATCATTGTTTATGGCCATTCTACTGTGAAATGGTATCTAACTAGGACTTAGTATCCATTGATGATTTCTTTCCTTTATTATCTATCTCTCCCAGCCTCTCGTAACCACTGACTCATTCTCAGTATAAGATAAACCTTGTAATCGTTTAATTATAAGTGAGACGGCATGGAGTTCTACTTCCTGTGCCTTGCTTATTTGACTATACCCAAGTCCCCAACTCCATCTATTGCAAATAAAAGGGTTTTTTTTTCTTATGCATGGATAAGTAATATTCCACTCTATGTATGTACCACATTCTTTCTGACAGACAATATGACATTTTGTTGAATTGCAGCATAGCATATAGCATCCTTAGCAAAGGTCATGGACCATGAAAAGTAAACTCTGATTTTCATGTTGACCTCAAAAGGGTTTTGATTTGAACTAAGACTTGAAAGCATGCCCATTTTCAGTGCCTGTGTATGTATGTGCAAATCTTACTTCCATAGTATTTCAGGTTGGCAGAATTGAAATCCTTTAGAGGGACTTATTGTCGGGTAGACTGGTAGATACTTCTTCCATAAGCCAATCACACAGTCTGGCAAATAGAAAAACGGTTGTCCAGTAGCAAGTGGGACTCACCGTCAGCTTCCGGTGGGAGAGGATGAGAAATATTCATTTCATTTTTGATGCTTCTAAACCTAAAATTATTAGAACACTAGTTATATATTGGCACCAATATGGTTACCTCCTGCCACTAAGTCATCTGAATGTGTTCTGGGTCAGGGAAAAAAGCCATTACAAAATCTTCCTGCCTCTGTTTCTGCTTCTAATTAACATTGTAACATGTACGTCCCCCAAGACTTTGAAGCATATGACGTGAAAGGGTTCTCAGAGGCTTTTCTGGGTAGTACTGGGTTTGAACTTAGGGTCTTACAAGGACTAGGCAAGCACACCATCATTAAACTATGTTCCAAACCCACAGTTTTACTTCTTTTGAGAGAAAACCACGTCTCTTAGTAGCCCAGTCTGGCTCAGAATACACTCTGACTGGAGCAGACCTTGAACCCTGGAGCCTCCTTGTCTCATTAGGAGGATTGCAGACATTTGTCACCAGTTCCAGCTTTCCAATTCTTTATTAGGCTTTCACAGAAACCATAACAACCCTTAGGAATAGACTGTGTTTCGCTTCTGACATAAATTCCTTTGCTTCTTTAAGTTTTAGTAGCCTTCATCTGTTCTAAATTAGATTGTTTGCATTTTCTTTGGCCCAGGTATCTCTTTTTACTAGTACATACAAGCGTGTGGGCAAGTTGTGTTTTTTTTTGTTGTTGTTGTTGCAGAAGGGCTACACTAGTGTGGAGGCCAGAGGGCTACCTTCTGTGTCACTCCTCAGGAGTGATTTTTTTTAAAACTAGGTTTCTCGTTGGCCTGGAACTTGCCAAGTAGGCTAGGCTAGTGAGATAGCTTGCAAGTCCCAGGTATCCACAAGTTTCTTCCTTCCACACACTAAGATCCTCCTCTGATGAACAGCTAGGGTTCCTTCCACTTCCTGACTGTTGTGAATAGTGTTTCAATGAACATGGCAGTACAGATGTCTCTTCCTGTTATGCAATCAAAGGATTTATATTTCCTTTGGATATAGATCTGGGAGTGAGAGTGTTAGGTCAGACTATAGTTCTTTTCTCTCTCTCTTTTTGTTATTGTTGTTGTTTGTTTGGGTTTTTTGTTTTTTTTGTTTGTTTGTTTTTGAAGAACGTTCATCATATTCTGGCTATGACTGTTACCATTCCCACCAACCACAAACAGAGTCCCTTTTCTCAACATCCTCTGCAGTACATGATAACTTCTATCTTTGTGATGAGAGACACTGTTACAGAAGGAGGCGCTGTTCCATTACCCTGATGATTAGTGTTGTTTATTTTTTAAAAATAGATCTGCTCGTCACTTATATGTCTTCTTTTGAGACATGTTGATTTAGATCTACCATATTTTAAGGTGGGGTATTCGTTGGCTGTTGAGTTTTCCAAGTTTAAGTACACACACACACACACACTGGGTGTCACACACACCTGTGTCAGATGTGCATCATGAACTACACAGCCTGTCCCTCTGTTGCCTGTTGTCTGTGCTGTGTAGAAGTGTTCGGATTTTACATAAACCTCTTTGCCTATTTCTCCCTTGTTTCTTATTCTTTTGGGATCTCTTTAGAAAATTTCTCCTATCAAACTATCCTGAATCGTGTCTCCCGAGTTTTCCTCTAGTGTTTTATAGTGTCAGGTCTTTCATTTAAGGATTTGGTCTGCCTGAGTTGGTGAGAGATATTTGTCTAACCGTGTTCTCTGCTCCATCCGTTTTTATTAGTGTCATTATGGCAAGGGCCATCATTTGCTTAGCACACGTTCTCATACCTTTGTTTAGACCCTTTAAAGTCTGTCTGCCATAATAGAATCTCCTATGCACTAGCACATTCTTTTTTCTGCCCCTAGAAAATACTACCATCCTTGTTTTACATCCTGGGTAGGATTCTTGGGATCCAGGGGTGAAGAAGCTGTGGTTACTTCCTTTACAGAACTAAAATTCATGGATAGAAAGAAATTAATTGTGAGATCATAGCACAGTGATGCCTGGGTCTGGGCAGTTCATGAGGGCAGTGTGTGTCTGTGTGTGTCTGTGTGTGTCTGTGTGTGTGTGTATGAAAGAGTGGGGGTGAGAGAGAGAGGGAGGGAGGGAGGGAGGGAAGAGGAGAGGAGAGGAGAGGAGAGGAGAGGAGAGGAGAGGAGAGGAGAGGAGAGGAGAGGAGAGGAGAGGAGAGAAGAAGAACAGGGATACACAAAAAACCTCTGGGGATGGCTGATGTTGGAAATAGATAGCAATTGTTTTTAGTAAACTTCCTGCCTAAGCCAGTGTTAGGCTAGCAGGCCTTATTTTCTCATTCCCATAGAGAGGCATGCACTGTAGTATTCACTCATGAGTATTTTTGTCTAGTGGTTGGAGACTGTGATATACAATAGGGCCAAAAATAGGAACTCAGCCTGGGTGTGTGTTGTGGTCTTTTGTTCCTCTTCCTCCTCCTCCCTGGTGACTGTGGGCATCCTGTGACAATGATCTGCTGAATGTCCAGTAGGAAAGCAGAAGGCAGGGAACACTCCTCAGGGAGGCTCCCATGTGGTTCTGGAACCTGCATCTCCTTGCTGCTATGGTGTCCACAGACTGAAGCCCAGCGATAACCAGTACCCTACTGCACAAAACATTCAGGAAGGAGGAGATGGCTAAACATATTTCAGTGTCTTCTGAATTTTTCTGTAAGAGTTTAAAAGACTCTGGCTTTAAACTGAAGGCCTCTTTCTACCAAATACACTGGGTATTAACTGGCCCTTCTGTTCAAGGGACGAAATGACGAATTCAGGAATCTCTTGACCTCCTCTCCATGACAACCCTTTCTTTTGGTTCCCCTCAGAGAAGCAGTCTGAGAACACATCTACTACTGCTAGCCACTGGACCGCTTTACTAATGATAAAATTTACTTACTCAGTCATATTATTTATTAAGGACTGATTAGGCTTAGAGCCTCTTAAAAGTCTCCCAGATAAACAGAATACCACAAAAAGAGATGCAATGAGAGGTGGGGAGTGAAGAATTAGGGTATAGCTCAATGGTAGAACACCTGACAGGCATATAGAAGCCTCTGGTTTGTCTTTCCAGCACCCATAAGCTCGCGCGCGTGCGTGCACACACACACACACACACACACACACACACACACACACGTGCGCGCGCGCAGGCACTCCAGTCACTAGCCTCGGTTGAGGTCCTAGTTTCATAGAATGCTGAGTAATCGCGCTCCTGAGGGTCCTGACCCAGTAGCACAGTGCGGAGCAGGCTTGATAGGAGCCCCTCGTTCTTCGCTGCCTTCTTGATTCTTCAGCAGAAATTCTTGCTTCATACCTCTTGAGCTCAGGGGACTAGGCACCATGTCAACACCCCGACACTCTGACACCCTGACTTTACCTGTAGTTGCATCAATGCACCACCTTGAAAACAGTTGGGGAAGCTAAGCTATTCAGGGTGCTCCTGGAGTTCTAAGACAGGTCATGATCAACCTGGATTTCAAATCTTCATCCCTAGGGTCCTAGTTTTTGTAGAAAAGACCCCACTCTGAACCTGCTATATATGTCAAAGGCTTCTTATTCCTTTCAGAACAAAGGCCACAGGCTTTGGGAAGGGGTCTGTCTGCTCCTGAGTATCCCGAGTGCAGGCTGAGTGAGTGTGGATGGGGGTATTGTATAGCCTGGCTGGGAGGATAATCCTTGGAGACAAGTTTTTGAGCTTTGTGTGCATGACCTTGATTAACTTTAGGGAATCCATCTTCCCCTTCTCAGTTCTCTCCTTAGTGACACATATTCCAATGCGCCCCCCTCCCCACTGTAACTTATTCCTCAGAGCCCCTACCATCTCTCTTGTGGTTTGCTCAAGTGGTATCTTGTGACTCTGGTCAGTGGCATTTGTTTTATAAAGTT